GGCCTTTCTTCTGTGGTGTCACTGGATGGGTTTGAACTGCCAACCTTTAGGTTAGTAGTTGAATGCAAACCGTTTGTGCCACCAGGTACTTTCATTTTGGGACAGAATGAGTCAAATAATATCATTCAATATATGAAAACAATTCAAAAATCAAAGGTTCTGATTAGCAAACTGATTGAACATGCTTGTCCTTCTTTTGCAGCACGCAGACTAAAAACAAAACAAATACTACTTACCCTGAATCTCCGCTTAAACCACAAAGGAGAGCATCTTTGGATCCTTCCAAGTAATAAAAATATTCTGTTAAGGAAAAATTTGAGCAATATAACGTCACTGAGTGTAAGCTAAGAGTGATAAAGCTGGTAAGCTGATTTATATCTATATATCTATATCTGTATATACACATTTAGGCCTGATCCCAGGTAAGATGGATCCATTTATTTATTCTCCCTCAAATATTTTTTCATTAGCTTTTATGGGGTAGGCTGGGAATATGATGATGAACATGATAAACAAACTGGCTAATTTTATGGAACTTCCCTTTTGCCTAGGTGGGGATGGAGGTTAGGGGTGATGACTGACACTAAACAAGTAAATAAAAAAAATGAACAAGATCTTTTCAGATATTGATAAGTGTTCTAAAAAAATAAATTAGGAAAATGTGATCAACTGTAGTCAGGGAAGGCCTCTCTGAGGACATGACATTTGAACTGAGACCTAAATGAGACAAAGAAGCCAGCCATGCAAAGAGCTTGTTGAAGAGATATCTGGGTAGGGTTAAGACCGAGACCAAAGGCCCTGTAGCAGAAATGAAGTTGCTGTACGGTAGAGACAGCAAGATGGACAGGCTGCTAGATTGTAGTGAGTGAGGAAGATTGTGGTGGCAAAGAAAGCAGGGGACAGATCATGTAGAAACTTGCATAACATGGAGAGGAGTTTGGATTTTATTTTAAAAATAATCAGAAGCAAAGTAGAAGGTGGAGTTATGAGACCTCATTTACATTTAAAAATATCACAATAGGTGCTTTGTGGACTGCGGACTATAGGAGTGCAGGTGTGGAAGCAAGCGGATGAGTTAAGTGACTATGGTGAGAGGTGGTTAAGGCTATGACTCAGAGAGCAGCTGTGGATATGGGGAGAAGAGGATGGAAACAGAGATGCAGGATTTGCCAATGCAGTGCATGTGGAGTGTAGGGTAAACAGACACACAGATATATCAACTGGGGAGATGCCAGTTACTGAGATCAGGAACACCTGGACAAGAAGAGGTCTGGAGAAAAACCAGGAGCTATGTTTTGGCCATGCTAAGTTTGAGATGATGATTAGATAACATACTGCATTTATCAAAGTGGCAGGAGCCCTGGTGGTGCAGTGGTTAAAGCACTCTGCTGCTAACTGAAAGGTGGGCAGTTAGAACCCACCAGCAGCTCCATGGGAGAAAGACTTGGCAGTCAGCTTCCGTAAAGATTTACAGCCTTGGAAACCCTATGGTGTCGCTATGAGTCAAAATCAACTCAATGGCAGTGGGTTTGGTTTTTTGGGTATCAAGGTGGCAGCTGGATGGATATGGGAGTCTGGAAGTCAGCAGAGTGATCAGGGATGGAGATATACCAATGGGGGTCATCATCAAATAGACAGTTTTCAAAGCCACTGGACTTGAGCTCACACAACGAGAAAGTGTTGCTAGGGAGGGGAAGAGAAAAAACACAAAGGAAGGGAAACAAAGAAAAAGGGAGGGGGATGGAAGGGAAAGATGGCAGGCCACAAAGTCCTGAAGGACTCCAATATTTAGCAGTCCAGAAGACGAGAATTCAGCAAAGTCAGTAGAATAAAATAAGCAAAAATTTTTCTGAAATTCTCTCATTGTTCATTTACCAATACATTTATTTAGAACCTACTATGTTCTGGGTGGAAACCCGGGTGGAGTAGTGGTTAAGAGCTATGGCTGCTAACCGAAAGGTCAGCAGTTCAAATCCACCAGGCATTCCTTGGAAGACGTATGGGGCAGTTCTACTGTGTCCTATAGGGTCACTATGAGTTGGAATCAACTCAGTGGCAATGGGTTTTTGGATATGTTCTGGGTGTTGAGGATATGACTGTGAAATAAATGTATATTTTCCTCTTTCTGACCATTTTCATCTGTAAAGGGTCTTATAATCTCTTCTACATTGATTAGAAAAGCTTATTTTCAAGACAGGGAGCTGATCCAGCATCTCGAAGTAAATGTGTAAGAGACTAAAAAAGCTTTTGTGGACCTTCCCAAATATCCATTCTTTTTATTAAGGGCCCAACATCCTATTTGGTTCAAATCAAAGCACTAAAGATGTAATTATGGAAGGCTTTGGGGATAATAGTGGAAGAAAGACTCTGATGTCAGATATACTTGGATTTGAATCTACTCCTTCTTATGTAGTGAATTATCTAACCACTTTAAGCCTTAGCTATCTCATCTGTAAAATGAGGATATGAATACTTACTTTGCAGGACTGTTGAAGAGTACACACAGGATACTGTATGCAAAGCACTTAACACAATGATTCACACATTCTATTCTAAATTAGCTGCTCAAAGACCAGCAGGCATTATTATTAAACTATTATATAATTTCAGATAAGGTTTATTGACTGATTTACTTATATATTATCATTTTCTCTTACTTGGAAGGCACAAAAATAAAGCCTCTTAGTTTGAGGTGAAAATTTAGGAAAGAGTGTATGTGAATAACAGCTTAAAAAAAAAAAAAAAGAAAGAAATCCTGCACTTCAGGGAAGGTAGGCATAGCAAAGTGGGGCTGGGGAAGGATAAGATTCAATTTTGCAGACATAAACATCCAAGATATTTTATTATGGAGAGATTACTTTAGAATCGTATTTAAAGTACCACTGATTTATGTTTACCAATCACTGAGGAGCTGATTTGTAAGAATGGGCTCCAGGGCTACCTGTATGGGCATTATGCAGGCTAACATATTTAGTTCAGTACAAGAATGATGAAAGGTAAAGCAACGAGAATAGCTTGCTCTGGTCTTGTCGAACACTTTACAATTCCTTAACAAGTTGACATTAAATTATTAGGATAATTGGCCTCAAGAGAATTTAAGATTAACATGTAAAGAAAAGGAAAAAATGTAACACAAATATAAATGAAAACATAAGTCCATACAAAAATTTGTACTTGCATGTTCACAGCAGGATTATCTATAATAGTGAAGAAGTGGAAACAACCCAAATGTCCATCAACTGAGGAATGGATAAACAAAAGGTGGTATATCCATACAACGGAATATTATTTGATAATAAAAAAATGAAGTACTGATACCTTACTACAACCTGGAGGAATCTTAAAAGCATTAAGCTAAATAAAAGAAGCCATACACAAAAAGCCACATACTGTATTATTCTATTTATACGAAAAATCCAGATCAGGGAAATCCATAGAGACAAAAAGCAGATTAGTGGTTTAGAGGGGCTAGGTGGAGGAGGGAATAGAGAGTTACTGCTAATGGGCATAGTTTCTTCTTGGAGAGATGAAAATATTCTAAAACTAGATAGTGTGATGGTTGCAAACTGTGAATATACTAAAAGCCACTGAATTATACCATTTAAAAACATAAATTTTATGGTTTGTGAATTATTTTTCAATGAAGCTATTATTTTTTTAATGTAATGTAATACAACAGCAAAGTTTGTAAGTAGTTATGGAATAAGTCCTAACTTTTCACTAAAATACATATGTAAAAAAGGAGAAACAGAAAATGACAAAAACTCATACAATGAAAATCTGGACCTGGTATTCAATCTAGTGCAGATTCTGGGGGATTTTCCATTAATTTCAAGGCCAATAACAGAAAGGTGAAACACAATTGGTGGCCTAAACATTCTATTACACTATCTGTTCTGTCTCAGAAGACAGTGTGTAAACTACTTATTGTACGGCTTGTGCTTTCTGAGGTCGAGGGTATAGTCTCCAACCAGAGTGAATAATTCAACTCTGAGAAAATAAGTGCAGAGAATGGGGAAGGGAGATAGTGACTTCAAGTGACACATTGCATTCTGAGAGGTGCAGTCCCCAAAACTAAAGAGCTGCAGATGAAGATGGAGACAGGAAAACCCGTTGTAGCAGTGTCGTCTGGGATTGTAGTTTTTCCAAGAATTCCCTCTGTTAAATGTCAAAGATCAAGAAAATAGGAGCAAGAGAATATCCTATTTTATCCTAATAGAACCACACTAAATCAATGCACAATAACCAAAAAAAAAACCAAACCAAACCTGTTGCTGTCAAGTCAATTCCGACTCATAGTGACCCTACAGGACAGAGTAGAACTGCCCCTTAGAGTTTCCAAGGAGCGCCTGGTGGATTCAAACTGCTGACCTTTTAGTTAGCAGCCATAGCATTTAACCACTACACCACCAGGGTTTCCCAATACACAATAGTTATTGGAAATTTAACTACAAGCTGTGTACATGAACTCCTTCTTCTGTAGCTGTGAGAAGGAAGTTTGATGAGCATTAAAGTAGACAGTGAGTAGCACCAAGATAAATCTATAAATTGTATGTTATTACACAGGAGGCTAGATAGTGAGTTCACTTATTTGATAATGCATTTTTTAAAAAAAGCACCTCCGAAGAGGCATTGATACAGACACCAGAAAACACTTCTAGAATCTTTTCAGACTTTCTAAGTTGTTTGCCTCCAACCTTATAATTCTTTGATCTATTCAAGAATGCCAATTCATTTACCTTACCACTTTCTCATTATTCATCAACCCTTGGACTCTTGGGTTCATTTCTTTCTTTCTCCAGCTTAGAATCCATGGGCACTCATTATCATCACTCCCTTAAAAGCTTCCTCAACTTCCACTCATCTCTCTTGGTCTAACACAGTAATCTGACAGAACTTGACCCTTACCATAACCTAGCAGCCACAAGCTGCTGAATGTCAGTGGAGAAACTCTCACAACCAAGTGAATGATTATATTTTAAATAAATGATCTCCAATATAAAATTGACACTCAAAAAAGATGCCATTTCCATTCTCTAACATGACCATACGGTACATTCTCACTCCTCAAATCTCCTGCAGAATTTCTCTTTCCTCATTCTCACTTTGAGCCAATGATCACATCTCATACTTTTCTGAGGAAATAAACACCACTGGGTTTGAACTTAATCATCTGCTCATGGTTCTGCAGCATACTTCCTCCATCTTCCCTTCTACTTCAACTGAGATGATGTCTGTCCCCTTTGCTCTTTCACTTTCTCAAGAGCTTAACGTCTCCCTCTCTCTCTTCTGAATGATTAATTCATATTTTACTGCTTACCCCATTAACTACCTTAGTTTAGCCTTATCTCTCTACCACTCACCAAAACTTTCTCATGAAAGACTCTGATGACATCCATGTTGTCTAGGCTAACGTATATTTCTCCATCTTCATCATCCTTGGTCCTTAATCTCACAGCATCGTTCTATACAAACCATCCTCTTTTCTCAACATAGTTTCTTCTCTTGGCTTCAGTATTTGTATCTTTGTTTGATTCTGACTTTTCTGCTCCTTCTCTGTGTCCTTTTCTGAGTTCTCTCTACCTGACTTCTAAACATCAGGGTTGTGGAATTGTGCTTCTTCTAAGTACTAAATTTACTTTAAACAGTGGTTTGTCCACCTTCTACGTGACTTCAAAACATCAAGGCTGCTCAGAAGGATGTGTTTGTCTATATCCTTTATTTTTGCTAATCTCTTCTAATATCTCCAAACCAGGCAGTTCCTCTCAGCGCTACACTTGAATTTCCTATTGTCTTCTTTATATCTCCACTTGGATGGCTCAGAAACATCTCAATTTCAACTAGTTAATGGTGACTTTCCTCTACAAACCTGTTTACATTTCTCTCATTTCCTATCACTACCCATTCAGTTATTCCAGCCAGAAATCTAGAAGTCATTCTCAAGCCCTCTTCCTTTCTCTAATTCATCAGTAAATTTTATAGGTTATATCTTAAACTCACCCTTTTGTCTTCATCTCCCTGCCACTATCTAGACTAAGCCACCGTCTTCCCTTGTCTGTATGATAGTAACATCATCCGAGCTGGTATCCCTTATTCTAACCTACCCTCCACCCTTGCTCAGTCAGTTTTCCACAGAGAAGACACGAAGATTAAAATCACTGTATTTAAAATCAAATCCAAGCTCCTTGCCATGGGCTAAAACATCCTGCATGATATGACTTGTGCTTTTTTCTCTTATTTTCTCTGTTACCATTCTCCCCTCTTTCTAAAGGCTGATCACATTGCTATTTTCCCATTCTTTAAACAGATAATACCCTTTCTTGTTTCAGGGCATTTTTATTTGCTATTTCCTATAACTGAAGCAGCACTCTCCCTCTAGTACATACAATTACACGCATACTTACACCTTTTCATGTCTCCTTATTATCCTTTAGATCTCAGTTTAAAGGCCACCTCCTCAGAGAGGTCTTCTCATTTAGTTGGTATCTCAGCCCTGAGATTAATTTTCTTTTCATGGTATTTATTATAACATGCAATATTTATTCTTTTGTCTATTAACCCTTTTAATCTTTCATTCCCACTAAAAGATGAGTTCTGTGAAAGCAAGGGCTTTGGCTATCATGTTCATTGCTACAGCTTCAGAAACTTACACAATGCCTAGCACAAAGAAGACAGTTAATAAACATTTGCTGATAAATGAATGTCTGAATGAATGTTAACAGTAAGACATGGCCTCTAAGAGACAGAAAACAGGTAGGAAATCAAATTTCACACTTGACTCAAACATCTGCTCTCTAAAAGTATGTCTTAGTTATCTAGTGCTGCCACAACGGAAACACCACAAGTGGATGGCTTCAACAAAGAGAAATCTATTCTCTCACAGTCTAATAGGCTGCAAGTCCAAATTAAGGGCATCAGTTCCAGGGGAAGGCCTTCTCT